CAGTAAAGCTGACAGCCGCTGGTTAGTTTCTGATCCAACGATCGTCTCCGTGGAGATTCTGACCGTCGTCCTCGACTCTCTGCTGGCTCTGCTCCTGATTCATGCAGTACTGAATGACAAGTACTACAGGTAATACTGCAACAAGTACTACAGCTCATACGTCAGGTACTACTGTCCAGGCCAGAAGTATGTGGACAGTAAGGTCTTTACTTCACACTGAATGTGGAGGTCTGGGACTGGCTGAGTGTCCACATACTTTTGGTCAGTACAGATTATGTTCTGATATCAGATGGACATTCATCAATGAGCATGTGAACGTATTGATCTGCGTGTGAACAGTGTGGATGTGCTTGTCAGACACTTCCTGCAGATCGCTCTGAGCGTGTGCGAGCTGTACGGCGGCTGGATGACCTTCTGTCCTGACTGGCTGCTCGGCAGTCCCCACCTGGACACGTCCAGCTGGCTCCACCTGTGGGTCTACCTGGTGTTCTTTAATGGCGTCTGGGTCCTGGTCCCGGTCCTGCTGCTGGCCCAGTCCTGGTTCTGTCTCCGCAGTCTGCACACGCTCAGAACGGACAAAAACCACATCAGCAGGAAGAACATGTAGACGCGTTGTTGTGTCGTCTGTTGTTGTGTCTGATCTCATGATGACTTGATTCTTTCTTAGAAATCGAAACAGGAGAAACTCCTGAAATTGTCCTTCAAAACACTGATTACAAATCAGGTCACAATTAAACAGCACAACCTGTCGTCTGGATCAACTCTAAAATCTTTATTTTTATTATAAATAGAATGTGAATAGTCAATAAAGCGTTGGGATGATCAGCGTTTAAGTGTCGTCAGCTCCTCTTGATCAGCTTGTGGACGGACATGAAGGCCTGCTGGAGGCCGAGGCCCTGCAGGGCGCTGCAGGCCTGAATCTCCCACAGTCTGTCGCTGTAAGTGGGGAGGTCCAGCTGTTTGGAGACCTGAGGGGGAGGACGGAGCAGAGAGAGGAAGAAGATGAGAGGAAGCAGCGCCCTCCAGTGACTGTTGGACATGTCTGAACCAAGAATCAGGGATGTCACAGTCTGATCAACACATTTCACCAGCGAGCAGCGCTCAAGACTTCTGGGGAGGTGAACGACCTCCGACCACAGCTCGTGTTCGAACGAAGTGTTGTGCTGAGATTAGTGCAGCTGCTGAATATTTAAAAAACGCTACGATTGGCCCCAATCCGGTCTGTGACACTGGATCAGAACATCGGTACTAAATACAAAATGTGTTCTCGTCAAATGAACATTAAACCTTTTACAGCTCAACTTGTTTCATTGTGAAAGTGATCAGGACATCCCTACTCATACCATTTAAAGTTCTGAGCAACGTACCATGAAGCAGGTTCCACATAAAACCCAAATCAGAGGTAACTGGTAGAACTGGTTTGTTACCAGTTGAACTTGTGTTCCAGTTGTGTTGCTGTTACTGTATGCTCTGAGGAACCACTGAGGTTCTTAGTGTCAGGCCGGGAGGTTCTCCTACCTCCCGTATGGTCATGGAGTTGGGCAGATCCTTCTTGTTGGCCAGAACCATCAGAGGAACTCCTCGCAACCTCTCATCACTCAGAACCTTCTTCAGGGCTTTCTGGGCTTCCACCATGCGAGAGGGATCGCTGCTGTCCACCACGAACACCACGGCCTTACAGTCGTCCAGGTAGAACCTGCAGAACACGATGTTAGGGTTTGTTTGTTTTGTTGTGTGTTTGTTTTGGCCAGGGGTTGTTTGTATTTTCACCTCCAGTTGGGCCTCATGCTCTTCTGTCCTCCAACGTCCCACACCGTCAGAGCCGTCTTCTTGTCCAGGTCCAGAGTTCCCACGTTGAAGCCGACGGTCGGCGACGTCTCCATTGCCTGTAAATTACAGATCGTCAGGCTCACCTGTGCGTCTGACACACAGCATCCAGGTAAGCCTGACGATGAGTGGGGAGGTTCACCTGTCCGGTCAGTAGTCTGGCAAGCAGAGTCGACTTTCCAGCAGAGTCCAGGCCCATGAGGATCACCTGGACACAGTAAGAGGACAGGTTAGTGCTGTGGAAGCTTTCATACCGAGCAGCAGCAATTTAAACATGTAACACACGCGTAAAACACGGGTAACACACATGTATCACACTGGTAACACACCTTTAACACACACGTAACACACCGGTATCACACCAGTAACACACCTGCAACACATCTGTAACACACTTTCAACACAGCGGTAACACACCGGTAGAACACCTGTAACACACCTGTAAC